ATGATCTTCGATTTTATTCGTAGGTGGAAGCTCTTAGATTTCGCTAAACTCATGCATAGCTCGATATCCTTCTTTGACATTGAGAAACATGAAACTGCCATTTCACACGTATCTCAGGCTAGAACAAGAGCTGCTAAGGTACTTTTAAGTTTTAACTTTAACATGTGTTGGAAGTTCTATTTATATTTTGGAAGGATGATTTAAGTCGTGAGATCTAAATTTCTAACTCCTAATTTTCAAGTTGTGAGAAACTTAATTTATGCTTCTTTTTTTTATTCAGATTGGAAATAGTTTATCAAAAGATGATAAAGTTCAAAAGCTTTCTTTGCAGCACTGGCTTGAAGCGGTTAGTTAAAACTCATTTATACTATTTTTTTATGTACACAATTGGTCACTCGTCAATAATTACTTACTAAAATGTTTTTGTTCGACAAAATAGATTGAACGCGTCATAGCTATGGATAATCTACATCTATTATGATAAATGGCTTCAGCGCCAGAGCAGAAAACCCTTCTTTTGCTGGTAATATTATTATAAAGCATCTATTTGGGTTACAGTTTATGCTAATGTTTTATATCGGTTTTTTGACCGAACTTGAAATTGCAGGCTAGATATTGGCGAAGGAAGATAAGTAAATCTAGAGAAGTGCTCTCCTACTAAACTTCAATAACAATGTTTCTAATATCTCAGTCCTGTAAGATTTCCTAAATTTTTATTAGCTTCTCCCTATTAAAAATATATGCATGAACAACTTTGGTAAGTTTTTATTCATTATTTTCATTCTTCTTTCTTTCAAATCAAAAAGTTGCAATATTAAGTTGTTGTGGAGGACAAAAAGTTCGACTGCAAACAATCGGGGAGCTTCAACAACACCACCACCAGCACCACCGACATCCGCATCAACAGTAGAGTCCATTCAAAAAAGAAATCATATATTTTAGGTAAGTATTGTTTTAGTCTCAGCATTAGAAAATCGCACATTAGCATAACACATCATAGCACAACATCATCATAACACTGCATCAACATAACATCAACATATCATATCATCAATATAGCATATCATATCATTGCATAAGCATAACATTGCATACCATATCATTGTATAAGCATAACATAACATACCATACCATTGCATAAGCATAACATACCATATCATTGCATAAGCATAGCATACCATATCATTGCATAAGCATAGCATACCATATCATTGCATAAGCATAGCATACCATATCATTGCATAAGCATAGCATACCATATCATTGCATAAGCATAGCATACCATATCATATCTTTGCATAACCATAACATATACAAGAGCTTTCAGAGAAGAAGAAAGTTCGCAGATTGTGCAATTCTTGTTGAACAATGCTGGTACTTACTTATTATCACGAGAACCTTTTTCATTATTTAAAAAATTCAGGTGTTTCTGACTTGCTTTTGTATGATCTTCGATTTTATTCGTAGGTGGAAGCTCTTAGATTTCGCTAAACTCATGCATAGCTCGATATCCTTCTTTGACATTGAGAAACATGAAACTGCCATTTCACACGTATCTCAGGCTAGAACAAGAGCTGCTAAGGTACTTTTAAGTTTTAACTTTAACATGTGTTGGAAGTTCTATTTATATTTTGGAAGGATGATTTAAGTCGTGAGATCTAAATTTCTAACTCCTAATTTTCAAGTTGTGAGAAACTTAATTTATGCTTCTTTTTTTTATTCAGATTGGAAATAGTTTATCAAAAGATGATAAAGTTCAAAAGCTTTCTTTGCAGCACTGGCTTGAAGCGGTTAGTTAAAACTCATTTATACTATTTTTTTATGTACACAATTGGTCACTCGTCAATAATTACTTACTAAAATGTTTTTGTTCGACAAAATAGATTGAACGCGTCATAGCTATGGATAATCTACATCTATTATGATAAATGGCTTCAGCGCCAGAGCAGAAAACCCTTCTTTTGCTGGTAATATTATTATAAAGCATCTATTTGGGTTACAGTTTATGCTAATGTTTTATATCGGTTTTTTGACCGAACTTGAAATTGCAGGCTAGATATTGGCGAAGGAAGATAAGTAAATCTAGAGAAGTGCTCTCCTACTAAACTTCAATAACAATGTTTCTAATATCTCAGTCCTGTAAGATTTCCTAAATTTTTATTAGCTTCTCCCTATTAAAAATATATGCATGAACAACTTTGGTAAGTTTTTATTCATTATTTTCATTCTTCTTTCTTTCAAATCAAAAAGTTGCAATATTAAGTTGTTGTGGAGGACAAAAAGTTCGACTGCAAACAATCGGGGAGCTTCAACAACACCACCACCAGCACCACCGACATCCGCATCAACAGTAGAGTCCATTCAAAAAAGAAATCATATATTTTAGGTAAGTATTGTTTTAGTCTCAGCATTAGAAAATCGCACATTAGCATAACACATCATAGCACAACATCATCATAACACTGCATCAACATAACATCAACATATCATATCATCAATATAGCATATCATATCATTGCATAAGCATAACATTGCATACCATATCATTGTATAAGCATAACATATCATATCATACCATTGCATAAGCATAACATACCATATCATTGCATAAGCATAGCATACCATATCATTGCATAAGCATAGCATACCATATCATTGCATAAGCATAGCATACCATATCATTGCATAAGCATAGCATACCATATCATTGCATAAGCATAGCATACCATATCATATCTTTGCATAAGCATAACATATACAAGAGCTTTCAGAGAAGAAGAAAGTTCGCAGATTGTGCAATTCTTGTTGAACAATGCTGGTACTTACTTATTATCACGAGAACCTTTTTCATTATTTAAAAAATTCAGGTGTTTCTGACTTGCTTTTGTATGATCTTCGATTTTATTCGTAGGTGGAAGCTCTTAGATTTCGCTAAACTCATGCATAGCTCGATATCCTTCTTTGACATTGAGAAACATGAAACTGCCATTTCACACGTATCTCAGGCTAGAACAAGAGCTGCTAAGGTACTTTTAAGTTTTAACTTTAACATGTGTTGGAAGTTCTATTTATATTTTGGAAGGATGATTTAAGTCGTGAGATCTAAATTTCTAACTCCTAATTTTCAAGTTGTGAGAAACTTAATTTATGCTTCTTTTTTTTATTCAGATTGGAAATAGTTTATCAAAAGATGATAAAGTTCAAAAGCTTTCTTTGCAGCACTGGCTTGAAGCGGTTAGTTAAAACTCATTTATACTATTTTTTTATGTACACAATTGGTCACTCGTCAATAATTACTTACTAAAATGTTTTTGTTCGGCAAAATAGATTGAACGCGTCATAGCTATGGATAATCTACATCTATTATGATAAATGGCTTCAGCGCCAGAGCAGAAAACCCTTCTTTTGCTGGTAATATTATTATAAAGCATCTATTTGGGTTACAGTTTATGCTAATGTTTTATATCGGTTTTTTGACCGAACTTGAAATTGCAGGCTAGATATTGGCGAAGGAAGATAAGTAAATCTAGAGAAGTGCTCTCCTACTAAACTTCAATAACAATGTTTCTAATATCTCAGTCCTGTAAGATTTCCTAAATTTTTATTAGCTTCTCCCTATTAAAAATATATGCATGAACAACTTTGGTAAGTTTTTATTCATTATTTTCATTCTTCTTTCTTTCAAATCAAAAAGTTGCAATATTAAGTTGTTGTGGAGGACAAAAAGTTCGACTGCAAACAATCGGGGAGCTTCAACAACACCACCACCAGCACCACCGACATCCGCATCAACAGTAGAGTCCATTCAAAAAAGAAATCATATATTTTAGGTAAGTATTGTTTTAGTCTCAGCATTAGAAAATCGCACATTAGCATAACACATCATAGCACAACATCATCATAACACTGCATCAACATAACATCAACATATCATATCATCAATATAGCATATCATCAACATAACATAAGCAAAACATAGCATATCATATCATTGCATAAGCATAACATGCCATACTTTATCATTGCATAAGCATAACATTGCATAAGCATAACATAACATATCATGACATACTTTATCATTGCATAAGCATAACATTGCATAACATAACCGAGCATAGCATATCATTGCATAAGCATGACATATCATACCATATCATTGCATAAGCATAACATAACATATCATTGCATAAGCATAACATAACATATCATTGCATAAGCATAACATAACATATCATTGCATAGCATAACGCAGCATCAACATAACACAACATTACAAAATTGCAAAGCATATAGCATAAGCATAACATAGCATACCATATCATTGCATAAGCATAACATGACATACCATATCATTGCATAAGCATAACATAGCATAAACATCACGTAGCATAGCATAATGCAACATCAACATAGCACAACATCAGTATAGCACAACATCGACATAGCATAGCATCAACATCGCATAACATAGCATCAACAATGCATAACATAACATATCATATTGTGAGCATAGCATCAACAAAGAATAACATATCATCGACATCAACATCAACATAGAATAACATAAAATCGACATCAGCATAAGCATAGCATAATATTAGTATATGCATAGCATAACATCAACAACACACAACATCAACATATCATATCATAAACATAGCATAGCATCAACATAGGCATATGCACTGATATTGGTAGACGCAGAGACATCGGCAGAGGCAGCAGCACCGCCAGAGGAATCACAACTAGTAACAACATCAACACCATTAGCAGAAGGGTCCATTAAAAAAGAGATCATATATTTTAGGTAGGTATTTTTTCAGTCTCAACATTGCAAAATCGCATAACATAACATAGCACAACATCGGCATAGCATATCATCAGCATAACATCAACATATTATAGCATTAGCACAACATCAATATAGCATAGCATATCATCAACATAGATCATCATATGCATAAGCATAGGCACTGGTACAGGCACATGTAGAGGGACCAACAGAAGCACTAGCAACACCAGCATCAACATCACCACAACACGCACCAGCAGTAGAGTCCTTTCAAAAAGGGATCATAAATATTAGGTGAGTATTTTTTTTAGTCTGTGCATTACAAAATCACATAGCATAGTATAGCACAAAATCAACATAGCACAACATCGGCATAACACGACATGAACATAACACACTAGCATAGTATAGCATGAGCATAAAATGTCATCAGCATAGCACAACATCAACATAACACAATATCACCATAGCATAGCATAAGCATACCATATCATTAGCCTAACATCAGTATAGGCATCTGCATAGGCATAGGAACCGACGGGAGTCGGGGCAGGGGCACCGACCGGGATAGGGGTACTGACAGGGCGGGCGGCATCGCAGAGGCACCATCGGCAGCAACACCAGGATCACCACTAGCACCACCATCACCAGCATCCGCACTAGCATCAGGGTCCGTTAAAAAATGATTGTATATTTTAAGTAAGTATTTTTTTAGTCTCAACATTACAAAATCGCACATCATAACTTAACACATCATTAGCATAACATATCAAAGGAGAACATCAGCATCGCACAACATCAACATACCACAACATCAGCATAGCATAACATCAACATATCTTCAAAATGTCATAACATAACATATCATCAGCAAAGCATTAAAATAGAGTAGCATAGCATCAGCATCGGCATCAGCATAAGCATTGCATCAACATAGCATAGCATAACATCACCATAAGCATATCATCAATGTAAGCATAGGCATAGGCATCGACAAAGGAGAACATCAGTATCGCACAACATCAACATAGCACAACATCAACATAGCATAACATCAACATATCTTCAAAATGTCATAGCATAACATATCATCAGCAAAGCATTAAAATAGAGTAGCATAGCATCAGCATCGGCATGGCAAAACATCATCATAGAATAGCATATCATCGGCATCAGCATAAGCATTGCATCAACATAGCATAGCATAACATCACCATAAGCATATCATCAATGTAAGCATAGGCATAGGCATCAACAAAGGCAAAGGCACGCTGAGGCAGGGCCAGAGGTACCAGCAGTGGCAGAGTTTCGAGCAGAGGCACTAGTAGCACGACATATGCAACAACACCACCAATACCAACACCATCGATAGCAACACCAGGATCATGCTGAGGCAAAGGCACCAAAGGCAAAGGCACGCTGAGGCAGGGCCAGAGGCACCAGCAGTGGCAGAGTTTCGAGCAGAGGCACTAGTAGCACGACATATGCAACAACACCACCAATACCAACACCATCGATAGCAACACCAGGATCACCACCAACACGAGTATCACCATCAGCTCCCACAACTGCACCCGCACTAGAAGTAGGGTCCACTCAAAAAGGGATCATATCGCACAACATCAGCATACCACAACACATCATAGGACAACATTAGTATAGCACAACATCAGCATAACCCAACATTAGCAAAGCATAACATTAAAATAGCATATCATATCATAGCATAGCACGAATATAGCATATCATATCATCAATATTAGCACAAGCATAACATCAACAATGCGCAGCATAGCATCAGCGTAGGCATAGGCTCCGACACCGACAGAGGTAGAGGCAGCAGCACTGGAAGCACCATTAACAACACCAACACTCAGTACCAACAGCAACAACACCAACACCCGTACCAACAGCAACAACACCACCACTACCACCACCAATAGCACCTGCACCAACACCAGCACTGGCATCCGCACCAGCAATATGGATCACATATTTTAGGTAAGTATATTTTTTAGTCTTAAAATTACTTTAGACTTGAAAATTTTACAATTTTGATAGATAATATAATGTGCCAAGTTGACATTCCATAAGGAATCTGAGGATATCTATGAATTGAAAATGTTTTGCACACTTATACTCCTATCTTGTATTTCTTGTGCAGGAAATGTGACTCTCAACTCACTGCTCAAGGCTCATGGGTGACTAAAACTTTCAGATATAAATGTGAACATAGAAGACCTATATGAACAATTGTTTTAAGTGTACATTTTATAAATGTATCTAGAGTTTTAGTAGTTATTGACTTAACATTGTTTTTTATGGAACATGTTAATGCTTTTGTTTGTATTAACTTACTTTGATAAGCTTTTTATGTAATGTATGAATTATTGTGGTGGTAGTTTGAACTTCCCTATCCATGAAGGCTTTGGCAACAATGAAATTTTGGATGACCCCTTTTGCAATTAGAGTTGACTAATGAGATGAGGACATACCATGTCTCTTTCTACATTTTTGGAATTTTCATTAGATGATCTGTGATTGTGTATAATAACGGGACGTGGAACTCTTTCTCAGATGTTTAGTATTTGCATAATAATTAAGTATTAAATTGAAATGAAATAGTCACTTAGGCAGCATGACCATTTTCAGTGCTACATAGAGTGGTATTTATAATGAGTGTAGCCGATATCTGATTATTAGTCGTGTTTTTGTACTTTGAACATATCTTATATCTTCTATGTTGAATAAGTATTGTTTTTTATGAGGATGATATCTAAAATGTCCACAATCTGTCTAAAGCTGGTTAGTCATGTTTTACCTATCATTTGTTTCCATTTTTGTGTATGGTTTATATTTCAATTCAATTAAAAAGTGATACTTAATTAATTAAAAATATCATAAAAATAGAAAATATTTTTTATAATACTTAGTGGAATTTGATTAACATAGAATATATAGATAATTTTTTTTACATAATAGGATAATAGGATAATCGATCACCTTTCTATATTATTGAACCAAATTTTTTAAATATTCATCCCATTTAAGCCAAGAATTATTTCAATTAGATTTAACAACATCATGCCATTGTAATGTTCTTTCTTCAAAATGGATATTGACTAATTCTACTTTAAACTCCACAGGTATTCCATTACACAAAAAATAGGTTTCACATTGACTTATCCAAGATCTAACATTTTTCCCACTGAATCTAGGGAAATCAACTCTAGACAGTGCAGTTTCAGAAGCAAAGTGTGGGTAATTGAGATTTTTGTCACCTAAAACAAAGTATCGAACAACTTGTGTGCATTCTTGTTCATTAGTATTAAAGCTTTTATTCTTAGGTGATCTATTTGAATCTTGCTTGTTTTTCTTCATAAGTTCCTCAATTGTATTCCTCAATGATTCTCCTAATGTCTTTTGAATTTCACCTGCAAGCTCCACAATATGTTTCTCTATTTTTTCCATCATTCGATGTTCGAGACGTTATTCTACTTCCTTTAGTGTTGTTTGTGTAGGTTTTGTCATTTCTCTTCCCAAAAAAGAAGAAGATCTTGATACCAATTGATATGGTTTTTCTAGGAATTCAAGAAAGAACTCAAAGAAATTCAATGAACATAAAACTCTATGAATTGAAAGAGTTTCGAGATATAGATTTATTAAGAGGATATGAAAATTTACAAAAGAGAAATTACAACAATGAATCAATTTGAATGACTTACTCTACATGTCCCTATTTATAAAACTAGGAACTAACTCTAACAGAATATTTTGTTTTTCATCAAAACTATTTCCTACAACAATTATTCACGTATTTAATCAATAATCCAATTAACTAACACCAACTAATTTCCCTACCAAACTAACCCAACCAATTATTCATATCATAGCTATGAGAAAGTGTAAATATATTTTGGGACATAATGGACACCAAATATTGAGAAATGTAAATATATTTTGTTGACTTTTGCTTCACTGTCTCTTCATGTTTGTAATACTTCTGGGAGGCAGATAGTGAAAGTGTCTGTAACATTCACTGTTTTAACGATTGTTGTTGTTTAGATATTTCTTATGAACGTGGGAGTCATGTGGTTACATATTCACACAAGTAGCAAGTTTTGACAAGGAATTTGCCTAATTCAAAACGTTTACTCATCAAATTTAGATTTTGAAGATGTTACAGTACTCTTCCATGAACCAAGTCTTTTAGGCCTACTCTATTGAATGTCATGATCATTAAACTTCAGTAAATTTGTTAAAACTTAAAACCCCAACTCCCAGTATTGACTTGAGTAGTACAAGATTTGAGGATGAATGTGTGTCTCCTTACATTAACATGCACGATAGTAATTTAATGTGACTATACACGATGTAGGAGCTGACCGAAATGTCTCTTTCATTTACAAGTACAAACTCCCGATGATCTCATAGTGGTTAGTGTAACTATAACATCAAATTTATTTGTCTATCTGCCACTGTCCATTGACAACAAAGCTAGCCGTATGTATATATGTCGTATTTAGTGGAGTCTTAGAATGGAAGATACATGCACCTGAGTAGCCTTACCGTTGCAAATAAGAAGTTGTTTATCATATTCGAGCTCATGCATTATATGGTTCTGCGAAGCTCAACAGTGTTAGAAAGTAATCCAAGAAGAGAGTTAGTTAGTTAGTTGTAGAAACCTTCCAGAAATAGCATTTAGTTAAGTTTGTTATGCTATAAGAAGAAGGTATATAAATACATAGGTGTATGGACAAATTTCCAATGAGAAGTTCATACCCACAAGTTTACACTCATCTCTCTCACAAATCCTCTCTCTGATTTCATTCACTACCTAAATCTCTTTCACTCTCTGTTTTCTTTCTCTCTTTTCCCTAACAATTGGTATCAAGAGCACCTGTTGAAGATCAAAAATTTCCGCTGCAAATCATGGCACAATCCACTGGAAACTATGCAACAAATCTGCCTGTTCTTGATGGCAAGAACTGGTCAAGATGGTGTATACAAATGAAAGCCATTTTTGGCTCTCAAGACGTGGCTGATATAGTAGAAGAAGGCATCCCAATCTTGGAAGAAGGAGCCAATGAGGACCAAAGGAGTGCACATAAGCAACACAAAAGGAGGGATTGCAGAGCACTATGTCTTCTTCACCAAGCTGTAGACAATGCCCATTTCGAAAAAATTGCAGGATCTACATCATCGAAGGAGGCATGGGAAATTCTGCAGAAGCATTATGCTGGAGCAGTTCAATTGAAGAAGATAAGGCTTCAAACATTGAGGAGGCAGTATGAATTGATGCAGATGGAGGAAGGTGAAAGAATTTGTGAATTCTTCACAAGAATACTCACTCAAACAAATGCCATGAAAGCTTGTGGAGAAAAGATGGAGGATAACACCATAGTTGAAAAGATCCTCAGAACAGTGGCTCCTAAATTCGACCATATTGTAGTAGCAATTGAGGAGTCAGCAAAGCTTGATAGGATGAAGGTAGAGGACCTTCAAGGGTCTCTTGAAGCCCATGAACAGAGGCGTAATGAAAGAAGTACTGACAGAACCTCTCATCAAGCACTGCAAGCTCACATAACAAGAAGGGGATCATTTTCTGATAGGTTCTCAAGAAGGATTGGTGGGCAAACACATGAGTTGAGTCATGATCCAAGAAAGAATTTGCAATCTAGTGGCAGTATCACTAGAGATCAAGCTGATCCAATGAGCAGAAGAGGCTTTGGAAATCAGGCCAAGAACAGGAAAAAGAGAACAGACAAGAAAAGGGGTAGATGCTACAATTGCAATAAGCTAGGACACTACTCATCTGAGTGTTTAGCACCCTTCAAGAATCACAATCAGCAACATCACAAGGCAGAGGATGAGGCCAATCTTGTTAAAGATAGTGATGAAAACTCTGATGATATTGATGTTCAACTCATGATGACTACAAACAAAGGAGAAGGTGGAAGTGATTCTTGGTACCTTGATTCAGGATGCTCTAATCATATGACAGGCCATAGAAAGTGGCTGGTGAATTTTGATCCAACTAGAAGAAATAAAGTCAAGTTTGCTGACAACAGAATGATTGCTGCAGAAGGAACTGGTGACATTCCTCTAATCATGGCAAGTGGAAGAAAGGCATACATCAATGATGTATTGTTTGTACCAAACATGAAAACCAACCTGATTAGTATTGTGCAATTGCATGAGAAAGGGCTTACTATGGAGCTTCTAAATGGATTCATGACAATCTATGACAACATGAGAAGGAGGATCTTGAAGGCTCCACTCTCAAGCAATAGAACCTTTCAGGTCAAGCTAGGCACAATAGATTCACACTGTCTGAATGCAGCAGCCACCATTGATGAATCCTGGCTTTGGCATTTGAGGTATGGCCATCTCAACTTCAGAGATTTAAAGCTCCTTAAAGCAAAAAGTATGGTGTTTGGACTCCCTGCTATCAAAACTCCACAAACAGTATGTGAAAGTTGTATGATAGGGAAGCAATCAAGGACTGTTTTCAACAAACACAAACATGTTAGAGCTCTAGATGCACTGCATGTGGTATATTCAAATGTTTGTGGGCCAATTGAGGTGCCTACTCTAGGGGGAAACATATATTTTATATCTTTTGTTGATGAGTATAGCAGAAAGATATGGGTTTATCTCATCAAGACAAAGAATGAAGTCTATGACAACTTGGTAAAGTTCAAAGCTATGGCAGAAAACCAATCAGGGAAACAACTTAGAATTCTCAGAACTGATGGAGGTGGAGAGTTCACCTCAAAAGCATTGGAAGATTTCTGTGAAAAGCATGGGATAGCTCATGAGGTAACAGCTCCATATACACCACAACACAATGGTTTGGCTGAAAGGAGAAACAGAACAGTGATGAATATGGTAAGATGCATGCTCAAGTGCAAAGGTCTACCTCAAAGCCTATGGGGAGAAGCAGTGACAACAGCTACTTATGTGTTAAATAGATGTCCAACTCAAAGCCTAAACCATCTAGTTCCTGAAGAGGTATGGACTGGAAACAGACCCTCAGTGAAGCACCTAAGGGTATTTGGTTCAATATGCTACAAACATGTACCAGATCAACTAAGGAGGAAACTAGATGATAAGAGTGAGTTAATGGTGTTTGTTGGCTACAACCCAACAGGATCATACAAACTGTACAATCCTGTGACAAAACACATAGTTTTTAGCAGGGATGTAAAGTTTGATGAAATGAGCACTTGGCAAGATCTTCTCAACAAGGCTGAGCAAAAGAAGGCTACTGCTTTAGTACCTATAGAAGAGGATCAAGTCAATACACCAACAGAAGCTTTATCTCCAAGGTCAGAACTGATTGAAGCTAGACCAACAAGAGTTAGACAAATGCCATCTAGGCTTAGTGAGTTTGAAGTATTGCCTGATAATGCAATCACTGATGAAGGTGACTTTGTTCATCTAGCACTAATGGGAGAAGTGGAGCCAATCAGTTTCAACCAAGCCATGAATGAAGATGTGTGG